AATTATAATCAGGTTTTGAACTATGAGCCATGCATTAAAAGGATACAGTATATAATCCCTGCTACTGCAACCCACTGCATATTGTGCCACCCACCACAACAATCATTATTGTCTGTTGAATACACAGTGCTATTTGGAATATGGACTGATGGGTGCATTAGCAATGTTGAGGTGTTGAGAGACCCTCAAGAGGTTTGGAATTGGCATTTGCTTTGAATAAGAAAACTGAAGTTGGAATTAAAATCTGACACGTATTTGAAGTTTACCCATACAATTCCTTCGCTTAAAATAAGAACAATTGACCTTGGGACTGAGGCACTGAGTTGGGTTCAATTCCTGGGTCTGATATACAGTCTGTTGAGAGATTTCCAGTCCCAAAATTTTGGCTAATATGACAGTGTTTCATTATCCTCTTTGTGTTATTCTCTACTTATTCCAGTGTACTTGAGCAGGAACTGTCTCTTACTATATGTACAAACAGTGTACAAAATTACGGACTCTCTGTTTAGAAACAGTTCATTTGGGCCCTGCCAAGGTTATGCAATGTCTGTGAAGGTACAGACATTTTCATAGAATCATAGAATAGTTAGGGTTGGAAAGGACCGCAAGATAATCAAGTTCCAATACCCCTGCCATGGGCAGGGACACCGCATACTAAACCATCTCACCCAAGGCTTCATCCAGCCTGACCTTCAATGCTACCAGGGATGGAGCACTCACAACATCCCTGAGCAACCCATTCCAGTGCCTCACCACCCTAACAGGAAAGAATTTCCTCCTTATATCCAGTCTAAACTGTATAGTCCAGCTGACAACAGTTGCGGACAAAACACTTGATTTCCATCTAGAGCCATAGTGCTTTATAGCACTAGATAAGAGAGGTGGAAATTTCTGCCCTTTAAAATCCTATGCAAAAAACTTCACAAGAGAAGTTCTCATGTAATAATTTCTCACTAGAACATTTTGTTCTGCAAGCACCTCTGTGCCAAACCAATCATCTCTGCCCCCCACTTCTAGAAATAATGTATTTGTAGATTTGGAAATACTTAGATTTAAGGTTTTGGGTTGGGTTTAACATACAATAAGACCATAGTCAGGAATATCAGGAAAAGAAGCCTGATGGTTTATGACTTCTGTGGCTAACATCAGCCTGGTAGGTCTATTAATATGACCAGGGTTACCTTGAACTGCTCTGAGACTGGACTTGAAAGATTAATACTCACAGCAAGGGATGATATATAGAACTTGGAAAATGAAATGAGCAGGTTAAGATAGAACTACTGTTCTGCTCTTCTTTGTGTTTATATTTCAGCTTCTAGTCAGCTTGTATAATAAGGAACAGCTGCAGAACATGCAGGATCTGTAAATAAAAACAGAAACAACAAAATGTCACATTTTGATAATGTTAACTAGTATTTTCATGTGTGTTCATACTGGAGATTGTGCCAAACTATACAGTTGCATGAACATTCAGACTTCCAAAAGAAAAAAGTTTTAGCTACTATTGACCCACACACTTTTCTAGGAGTCAAGATTTTCATCACATACACCAGAATGCCACTGTAACTGAAGAAAATACAATAAATTGAAATAAAACCCAAACCCAACAACTGGAGCTTTATTTATTCTTAATAACATTGAGGGTAGGTAATGTTATTCCTTCCACAAAGTGAGTTATTCTTTTTCTTTAGTAAGTCTGTTCCCAGAAGGGCACTGAAACAAATACTCGCATTCAGTACTGTTTCTGTAGACCACTTTTCAGATAGCCACATTTCTGTCAGAAATGCTTGGGATGTCATTTGCAAATATGAATGGAATGATTTTTAAAGAACAGTGTGAAACTAATACATGCATTAGACTTACAGCTCCCATTCGCATAATTTGTTGTTATATCCAAACAATGTGTCTCTCACAAAGACACCGGTGTTTTTAACCAAGCACTTCTTTGTGTTCACTTCCTATGATGGCAGTAGAACAGAGCTGAATAGTATCTATATGGATGACACAGTTCTGCTGTCAGTTCTTTGGCTTCAGCAGATTGCATACAAGGTATATTTCCTTCTGTGGAAACAGACTTCAAGATGACAGTCTCTCTTAGTACACAACAGTCAAAAGTGTTTCAGTTCTATACTGACAGCCACACAGGTAGGCTTCTGCACCTCAGCTGTGAAGTACTGTTCAATGAATGCTTCTATTTCAAGGCAAAGATTAGATAGTAAAGTTGGAAATGCATTTCTGTTAGTATGAGTGACTTCATTCTAGTGTCAATCAAAAAGCAACTATATTCATACTATGGAGGAATCTGTGATAATACTGTGCAGGGAGGAATGTATGGTAGAGATTTTATCCTTCATAAGCACACAATTTCAGCAATCCAAAATTGCACTTAGGTGTACTTGGTTTTCCCTACCTCAGCATAGCACAGTAGCTGAAAGGTGTTGTATCACCAACCTATTGACTGTAGGTGAGATTCCAAATTTTGCCATTCAAGCTTTGCTTTGTATATGACAAGATAACTACAGCTCAGAGAAGATGTGGTTTTTACTCTGTTCTGCACAACAAATGAGCCAAAGAATGATGAAGTACAGATTCTGTTGCCCATATTTTTAGGGCACTTAGTTAAGGATGTAAAAAACGTGACCAGGCTCCAGTTCTTCACTTTCATAAATAATTATTCCTGCAAAATTGAATAGGCCTTTTGTTGACACATGAGTAAACAGGGTTCCCTCATTGACTTTCTGAGAAAATGATATTCCAGTCCAAGTTACTCAACTGCAGCTGAAATGCAGGAGAGTTAGGAACTTATGTTCAAGAGGCAGGACTAAAGGCATGATCCTTGTTTTACATTAACATTCCTTGTTATTTTACATTATCTCATCTGGCCAGTTTCATCCACCTTCCTCTACTTAACCTCACAAGCGGGTGTCATCCTTCATGCATTTTACTGTTTGGTACATAACTCAGTGCTTGCATTGCATAAAAAACTTGGGTCCTAAATGTGATATTAATTCTTCAATCTGGCAAAGTACCTGGAAGAATTGTGTCACAACACAAAGAAAAGTTACAATCTTGAGTTAAATTTGTGATTCTGTCTGTGATTGCATTATTATATATATATCTTGTTTTAGGCATGTCAATTACTATTTACAATTGTAGATCTTAAAAGTGGAGGACAGACACCCAAAATAGTTTTTTGTGTTCTTTGTGCTAAATGCTGTACAAGCCTACAGTGCAATAGATCTCACTTCAACAAACCATGTATGCATGCAAGGTAAACAATGAAAAAAGCTTGTCCTGTGTACTTCATGGTTAAAAAACCCACACACAGCTCGTTTTTTTTTGGTTGTTTTTTTTTTTTTTTCCAGAGTCATAGTGCTAAGACACTGTTTCATCACAGTCTTTTTAAAAATTACTTTTTAAGTAGGAGTGCAGCTGGTATTTCACTGGCTCCTTCTACAGATTTCAGTGGCAACCATTCACACACATTAGACATGTATATGATTTTTTTATTCTGTGATTTCAGAATGAGACTTGAGCTCCAAGGTGTCTTTATTAATTAAATGCATCGGTTCAATGAACATACATACCAAGCCTTACTTGCAACACTGTCTCTGTGTGTGTTACTCAAGAATTTAAAAGAGGGGAGGGAGGAAGCTAGGTTTTACCAGTAGTTTTATTTTGAAAATTTAAGTGAAGAAATCAGAAGGAGATGGTGTCAAAATGTACTCATCAGTTCTGCTGTGGTCTAAGAAACTTTGAGTTTTCAAAGGTCGTATTTGGCTGTGGTTTGGGTTTATTCCTACAAGGACCAGTGTCCAACTTTCAAAGGCTGATGTTTTTGAAGGCAGGGACAGAGGGGAAGCAAAAGTGAGGTTTAGACATCATAACACTTTGGAGAACATTTGGGGACATAATTATCTCTCAGTGCTCTGAGGACATTCTGACAGGAGCTGCACCTACCAGGAGTCCTTACAAGCTCCTGCTGTATAAAATAGTTTTAATAACTGTTGAGACCTACTAGATGCCTGCAGAAGATTGTGAATGCTTGCAGCTGGGCAAGTGAGGGAGGCCCTGTGATAAAAGATTGCTCAGGGAACGATGAGGAATGAGTTTCCACAACTTCTCTGGCAGTGAATACTAGTACAGAGGTGTAATGTAGGGAATTTTTGATAGCCTGAGCCATCTCCTTCACTTACTGCAGTGACACCATGGTTCACCCCCTTCTCTTAATTTGCTGAGGTAGTAAAAAAGCCTCAAGCCTTTGAATGGCAGGCTGGTCTCCTTCACATGGTCCCTCTGCTTCCCACCTCACCCTTAAGGGATCTGCTATCAAAGAATAAACCAGTATGACATGACTGATTCATCACTATGCAATTTCTGTCCTGATATCCTAGGCAGAGTGTTTGGTTTCTTAAATTTCTTTAGCATGGTAGTATTTCTTGCACCTCTTATGTCAGATTGAGTTCTTCATAAACTTTCCATGCTAGGCTTCTGTCAAGGTATTGATCTTCATAATATTACTGGTTCAGAATATCAGACTACTGGTCAAATGTGAAGATGTAAGCTTCTCTACCACCACTGCCTAAGAAGGCCTTGTTGAGTGTTTTAGTGTTGGTAAAAGAGCACATTCGTCCACCAGCTGCTGGTGGCAGTGTGTGATGTCAGCTCCTTGGTACCTGGAATAATATGAAAGACAACCAATTCTGTAGTTAGTATGAAGAACACTACTTCAGTAAAGGCTGCATTGAACCACAACACTCTGAAATCTTACTCAGCTGATAGCTAGTCTCTGTTCTTGGGTTTATTTCTGCACTGTAGCTACTGACAGGGCAATGTTGAATGCATCAACAATTCTAGCAGTAGTATTCAAACCTGAGCTCCATCCTCTCCCATTTGCTTGTTACACCTCTGATAATCTGCCTCCTTTTGGGATTTGTTACAGGAAGGAAAGTGCAGAAAATCTCCAAAGCACCTTGCCAATACCTTTGTGACAATGCTTGCTCATTTTCCTCCTCCTTCTCATTTCAAGGAGAGATCCTACTAGATATTGCTGTGAAGAGAAAAAAAAAAAAAAAAATAATAGCAAGGTTAAGGCCAGTTTAAAAAAAATGCCTAACTCTTCTCCAGGTTTTAAAGAAAGCCTGACATACAAAACTGAAAAGTCACTCCATATTACTTGTACAGTTATCAAAGACCATTGGTGGGGTTTTTTTACCCCCCGTATTTTTTTTTTTCTCTCTCATACTTTCTATCTCAATTAAAGTTCATCTTTGACCTGCATATATCAGGAGCCAAAAGAAGAACAACAGTAAGAATTGCTTTATTCTAATATTAAACCAGGCATTCATTAGTGGTATGAAGTCTCTCCATTATCAGGGTTCTGTCCTGGGTTCAGCAGTAGCAGTCATTTTTCTCAGTCTTAATAGCTGGTGCAGTGCTGTGGTTTTGACTTTCATCCTGGAACAGCACTGATAACACCCATGTTTTTAGTTGTTGCTCAGTAACATTTACTCTGACCAAGGACTTTCTGAGTCTCATGCTCTGCCAGGGAGGAGGGGAAACTGGGAGGAAGCAGAGACAGGACATCTGACCCAAACTAGCCAAAGAGGTATTCCATACCACAGCACGCCATGCCCAGTATTTAAAATGGGGGCAGTTACCCAGAAGGGCTAGATCAGTGCTCAAGTCGGGCTGGGTATCAGTTGGCGGGTGGTGAGTGGTTGTATTCTCTTCGCTCGTCATTTCCCTTGTCATTATTGTCATTGGTGGCAGCAGTACTGATTTGTGTTATACCTTAGTTACTGAACTGTTCTTATTTCAACCCATGGGAGTTATATTCTTTCAGTTCTCCTCCCCATCCCTCCCAGAGAGCGGGAGAGAGTGAACAAGCGGCTGTGTGGTTCTGAGTTACCAGATGAGTTTAAACTACAATTTTCAAGGAGATGCACTCATTTCATTTTTTGCTGCAATGTATTATTTTTTTATCAGTAAGTGTTATTCAAAGCCAGCAACAGTTACATGACTGCAAGGACACTGATCTCAAATAATACCCACAACAAACGTGACACAGCCTAACAAAAGCATTGAACTAGTCAGCTGTGCAATCTTCTTTTTCCCTGCTACTGTCTCTGACTCCTCATGGCTATGCCCATCCCGTAATTTACATGAGCTACTATGTTTTATTTTGTACTGTGAACAGCTCAGAAAAAGAGCACCCCTATCAGTACTATATGGTTTAATCAATGCAGCAAAGAATACCTAAGAAATATATACTGTGCCCAAACCAGATTGCTTGTTTCAAAGCGATAGATACTGAGGGAATTTCTCTAAAGTAATTTTATTCTATAGCATTCTTATACCTTAGTCTTTGCTCTGAACACAAAAACCAGTTTAATCTTCCTTTGTTTCTTGCCAACCTCTTACCTGGGAGAGGCGAAGGAAATAATTTTGATAGGTGATTGCTTAGTTCTCAAGAAGCATCTGGAAAGGAGAGTTGAAAAAAGACCACTAACTGAATGAAAACTGTAGTCAATAAAAAGTAATGTTGATTTTAAAACAATACACTGTCAGACAAAGACTTTAGTATGCAGACTTAAAATGCTTTTACATAAATCTTCTGTATTCATTCTTCGTCTTCTCTTATTCTGATCTTGGTCATCAGTCTTGTGTGATGTACTGTTTGCTCACTACAACCATAAGGTTGCTGTGAATTAATTGTATGATTCTTTCAGTTCCCATTACAGTCTTTGACACAAGAATGAGTTTTCACAGAAGTGAATGCTAGGATGTTCTGATTCTCATTGAATATTCTCATTAATCCATTCTTAGGCGAAAGATTACTGATAAAGAATAAGCACAGATATTAATTATTTTATTTCTCATGGCAATCTTGGGGATGTAATGAGAATGGAATGATCACCCCTTCTTGGTTCTTAAAGTAAGGGTGTTTTGAAGGATAAAAAAATATTCAAAGTTAATTTATTCTTGTAATTAAACTGTTATAAGACCAGAAGCTTAAAACCCATCACATTAATTCATTCTCATGCCAGTTTTAAGGGCCCAAACCTGTAAGTGCCAATTAGAGTGAACAGAAGCAGAGGATACAGGTCAGTGGAGAGTGGAGCATCACAAATTTCTGTGCTGAAAATAGGCAACAGTATAGTCCTTAGTTGTCAACAAGATGTAATAACATCATATATTATCTCTTTTTTATTACTATTAATTTCCAATGGGTTTTCTGTATTGGTGGCTGTGCATTAGCACAGTTCCTTAATTATCAACATTTTTCCCTTCAGTAGGGGTGGAATACTGAATTATGCTATAGTTTGATAGAAGTCAGTGAATAGTTAAACTGTACCTCATCAGATAAACATACTGTATTTTAAAGATAGCTAACTCTGTCAAGATTATTTCTGAGATTATTACAGAGTAAAATCTACAGAGCTTTCTTGATACATCCATCAGAGATACATTCCAGAGAATGAATGCTGCAAGAGGGCAAATACCACATATGGGAAAGGCATTAAGGAAATCTAGGCTCCTCAAACTGTTAGTAGAGCACAAGGCCATGAACTGTCAACAGCTTCCTTTACTGGCCTTTTCTTCCAGAAAGTTCTTTCAAGAAAGGAGAAGGTAGGAGAACAAATTCTGACTTTCTTGTATTCTGCTTTAACCCCAAGTCCCACACTTCTTTCAGCAGGAAACAGATGAGAGCTTCTGACTGCTAAGGTCATTGGCAAATTATAGATAATGCTGCCATTTATCTTGGGACAGGAAAAGAGTGTGAAGAATCTAAGCAAGGCACATCATTTACTTCCAAACCTATTGTTAAATGAAGTTTTGTGTCAAACCTTTTTTAAGAACATCTTCAATCTTTCTCACAGCTTTCATGGGTTTGGTGTGATATTATAGGCATGTTTTGATTTAGTGCAGAAAAAATATGTGGCTAATTTCAAAATAAATCCATTAGAGATAGGAAGCAATGAAATATTGTGAAGCGATACTCAGTGTCGTAATGTGACAATGCACAGGATAGAAGCAATGCATTGCCCAAGTGCTCATCCTATTCCCAGCCAGTTGCAGCTCCGTTTTTCACTAATCTTACTCATTTTCCACATACAAAACACTCAGACATACCTGTGGTTGACTCACTCCAGGATCCTTAAACAAGAAGTTATTTCCCTGGAGTTACAAGTGCTAAGCATTGATTGATAGTTGCATGTTTGTGCTGAGCCATCCAACAGTTAGACCTAAAAACAAAAAAGAGAAATTACATAAATATAAAATGACAAACATGTTTCTCTGAAAACATCTGTGTTAATTTGGCAATTTTCGCTCTCATTGGCATTAATGCAACTGTGTGGCCACAGCATTCTTTACAGCCCTTTGAATAGTACACTGCCTGTGAAAAAACTAATTTCTAAGATAACACAATAAAAACACAAAAAGCAAAAAAAAAAAAAGTACTTCATAGACTTTAATAAAGTTGAAGAGCAATAACAGTGCACTAAGAATTCTTATTCTGTGTAATAGAATAACAGATATTCAGGAAAGCCATCCACAGAGTTCAAACCTAACCTGGTCTCCCTAACCCAGGTACTTTTTGGTTGGGTGGTTGGTTTTGGTTTTGGGGGCATTTTTTAAGTGTTAGTCATCCAAAAAGGTATCCGTTGGAGAGGAACCTACCTACTTCGTGCAGGTTCTCTAATGACTCCCTGCAAGAAGGCAAAACCATATACATATATCAAAACTCTGAAGGACATTGAACCAACAAAAGGGATTAGCAAGACCTTGCAAGTTACAGTACTTGTTTCTTAACTAGTTTTAAAGGTTCTTAGCCTAGAGAATCTCCTGTGCAAGAACGGAGGTAAATAATGCAGGTTCACATTTTGTTTGAAATACTTCAAAATTCTTTTACTTATGTTTCTCATTCACAACACCCAGTTGGGCTCCAGGAATAAGCAAAAAGTGCACTAGCAGAAAGCAATGGAAATATCTGTGGTCTATCTGCTTACATTGTTTCTATTGAGAAGTGAGAGATAGGGTAGTAATCAGGAGAGGCTGAAATGTAGCACAGAATCCTCTGGACAATGCTCCACCTAACTACAGAAATTAGCCACAGTTGCCCTTACAGCTGGAGATCTGTAAATAAAGAGTGTTATAGTCTGAACTAGATTTCATTAGATTTCATTAAGGCATCTGAATAGGAATCAAGAGAGATGCATCCAGCTCTTCAGTAGGTCACCTGTGCTCTCATTTCATTTAGCTAAACTCATCTTGACCAGTAAAATAAATTTGTGTTTAAATGTTGGTTTGTGCAGTGTAAATTTAACTATGATTTCAGGGAGCTTTGCACAAGGCAAGGATAACAAACATGAAGGTGAGGATAATAAACATATTTTTTGTTGCCCTGGCCATTCAGAATGTGAATTCTAGGAGGCTAGGATACTTTTTTCTTTCTAACTTTATTTTGGTTTTGTTCACGCTCACTTGCTGGGATTTTCACAAATATCCTAGCATGCTGGTCGAGGAACAGGAATGTTCACCTACTCGTTGAATTTGGAGTTTGATCCAACTAACACTAGAAGTAATGTAAGTGTTCAAGGCACCCTTATATTTCTATGCAATATTGCATTCACAGAACTTCAAATTTAGCAGCATCTTATTCACATGAAAACTTAATTCTAAATTTTTTTTTTGCATCTGGTTAGGAAACAGAATTGTAATGTCTGATCCATTTCCCTATTCAAAAAAGCTTAAATGTTGATTTGTACAGGCTCAGTATTTGCAGTGAATAAATAACAGACAAAAAAAAATATTTTTCAAATCATTTCTAATTATGAAGAAAATCATACTTTGCAACCATAAGACTGGTGGAGACACAGAATGAAGTACTGCTCATAGTCCTTTCTCCCAACTTTGTTTCCGTTGAATTCTGAAATTCACAAATTTCTTTAAACAGTGTATTATGTGAAACAAATTTACCTGTGGTGTTACATCACTGCCATTTGAATTGCCTTCCATGTCATTAGACCAAAGGTAAATATACTCTTATGCCATTTCATATGGGCATTACATAGAGTGCTTTTCCACAGTACTATACCACTGACGAGGGGAAGCCAAGAGAAGTGAAAACGTGTGTTTGGGGAGCTGGCAGAGAATTCACTGGGACAGGTAAAAATGTAAAGGGTTTTGGAAGAGCAGAAGCCAGAGACTATGAGAAACTTTTGTTGTTGTTGTTGTTTATAAGCACTGTTTAAAATAAAAATTTCAGACTAGGAATTAAAATTTAAACAATGTAAGTGCCTCAGAGAACCAGGCTCAAAAGCAGTCCCGTAATGGGACTCCAGCACAGCTTTTAGTTTTTCATGTGAAGAAGGGAAAAGATTTTTCATTAAAATTTAAAAATTATCAGAATAAAAATCCTTTTTGTTTTTGTAGGCAGTGTAACTAGGAATGATTGTGTTCACTTAATGGGTGCCCACTCGTAAGAATTTCCTTTTCTGTAACAGTGGTTAGATTAAAATTTAAGCTTATCTTGGTCGTCCTGTAGTCTACATTTTTTCAGTGAGTTATGCAGAATGTTATGTCTGAAGTATCTCCTCTTTAACAATTATATCTCAACTATTAGTATGTGTGTAAGTGATGAAGGACTCACTGCTTTTAGAACATGAAATAAGGCATATGAGACGACTGTATTAAATAGATGTGATCTGGAAGACCACCACCTGGTGCTTTTCCTATTATTTGCTGTGAGAAGTACAAGCACACCTTAGCATTGTACTACACACTTCATGCCAGATAGTTACCCAATTCAGTGCAAACCTTGAGAAAATGTAAAACTACCATCCTCCTGTTCTACTATACAAACATCAGTTTTCTATACTGCCAAAGGCTGTGCAAAGAAAAGTATACATTACCCATTCTTTAAACTCCTTCTTTTCCATCTCCCTCAAGTAAGCTGGTCACTGTAATATGTACACAGAATATAAACAGGAGACACTGCAGTTGGGGAAAAAAGTACATTTATAAAGGACAAAGCAAAGCCAGCCTGTAGGAGGAAACTTTGGAACTCGAGGCCCTAAACTTCCAGATCAAGCCTGTTAATATAGTAGTGTACCTCTTAAACTGAACCTTTAGGCTCTGTTACTACTTCTATGTCAGTAATGAAAAATAAATGAAAATAAATACACAAGCAGTGCTCCTTGATCCCCACAAGGTTTAATATAAGCTGATGAACATCAGTATTTCCAACAACAAAATTATGCCTTTCTACTCATTATTAGTGGACCATGTTCTCACAATATCACTACTTACTGTGGTAATTAAAGTTACTTGCAAGTTGAATCTGCAAGTGAATGCACTGTGGTGTACACAGTACATAGTTCCCATAAATTTAACACATGGGAATGTATTTCAGCAGCTACAGCTTTCAGTACTTCATCAGTTTTGTTTTGCATGAATGTAATTTACCTTTCAGCTTACAGTACAGGTCTTGTACTGAAATAAAACTAGTACTGTAACAGCACTCACATCATGTTGCTGGAGTGTGTGTGTGGAAATCCTCATATTTATTCCAGAGTTTTCCAAGCAGTTAAACTCAACTGCAGATGTATATCTCTGCACATTTTTAGGGCAGTGATAGAATTCTGGTTGCACAAGGCTAGTAAAATCAAAGTTTCAATAATGCAGCTGTAATTATAATACAAGGATGCACAGTCTCTTCCTTTTTTTTTTCCTGTTAAAATAAAGAAACCATGGAAAGAGGAAAAGCTATTGAAATGTTGTTATATGGTATAGTCACTGTTCTTAGGGGAAGAGAAATGTTGTAGTCTAAAATGAAATATATGACTGCATTTCAGAGACAGTCTTACCCATTGGAAATAGCCACAAATAAAGGAGAAGACAAAAAGACGCTTCAGACCCTGAAAGTGGAGAGATTTCCAACTTTGTTTGGATTTACTGGCTTTCAGAAAGAAGGACCCATTTCATGAGTGGAAAATTTACCTTATTAAAGCACAAAGAATTTGGCCAAGTTTCTGCCATGTACGTTAGCTTCTTTTATAAAATATGGGCTAGCCTGTTTTTTGTTGAAGTCATTAGGATTTTTGGTGTTGATTTCATGATGAATAGCCAGTGGGTCCCAAGCAAAGAAGCTGAGGGGAAAGGCATACTCCCTCTTACCCAAAGTACAGTTCAGATCAAATGCCGTGAACTTCAGGGGTGTATTTCCTGATGTTTTCTTCATGCCTTAGACATTTCTGTTCACAATAACCAACTTCTCCAGTAGTCAATTTTACAACTACATTTGAGTTTTAGAGAGGAAATCTAATACTAATCATTGAATCCTGTCAAGAATTCAGTAAATCAAGTGACTTTTATGGTATTTTACAAGAAAGAAAACTATTAGGTAAACTGACAAGTCCAAATAGGAATAGGAGACTCCAACTATGGTGCTGATGTGCAGATAGACTTCACATCTCGTTAAAGTTGTAAAGTAGGTATGCTTTTATTCAGCGTTGAGGTGCATGGGGGATAGCTCCTCCAAAGGCATGCACACCTCAGCGTCGTTTCCCCTTTACATTTATCCTCTAAAGTTATATATATGCATGAGGTTGCGCAACACGCCTATACATATACATCTCCTATCCCCGCTTCGTATTATAATGAACTAAGAAGTTTTTTGCGCCTGCGCAGTGCCTCCTAGTAGTCATGGGCGAGGGTCTCAGGATGAAGTAAACGAGTCTTCCTTGAGCCTGAACTTTTCACCTCTAGTCGTTATGCATCCTCCCTGAGGCTTGGTCATTGTCCAAAGCGCAAAGCCAACTTCAGCCAGCCTAGGCATCCAAAGGACAGGAATCAAGTCACGGTTGCTACTTCTTAACAATAGCTATGTCCTTATATCTTGTTCTAGCATATACAACGAGTACTATAAGCATGAACGAGCAGGGATATTGTTAAGAAAGCGGCTTGACCTACCCCCTTCTACACTGCAAGTATGATAAGCATGAGCAAGCAGTAACATTGTTAAGCATGTGGTTTGACCCTACCCCCCCCGTACACTGGTTAACCCTTTGCATCAGTGTATGTTATGAATCATAGCCTACTACCCCTGCTGAGATTGAGAGAGGATCTGTAATCCAAATTGAATTCAAATAAGTTCACAGGGATTCTTAAAAGTTTTGCTAAAAAGGGAAGCCAAATGCTGACAGCTTTATTACAGCATATAACTCAAAATAT